AGTTGAGTAAAATATTAAGTTAAGACGTAGATGAAGCTAAACACACACAGACCACTTATGTATTTTTTCAACCGGAAGACTAAATTGTTGTCTTATTTAGTAAGATACTATGTATAGAATGTTATACCGAATGTAAAGAATATCTTCCGGTAATAAAACACTCGGTAATAATTGACTTAAAGATTGAGGAATATGTGAAGAGGTTTTAATTTCTCATTTATGATTGAGAAAGATAGGACAGATGCTATTGCGAATGACAATCATAGTGTAAGTGGAATGAAATTGAAAATGCATACAATAAGATTCATACTCAGTGGTTTGAATAAAGTGAACTCGTCATGATATCCATGGTGTTGCATTCGATGTGGTTTTGGATTACGTGTGTGCATCTGTGTGTGTGTGTGTAATATGAATTATTCATTAACTACGACAGAATAGCTATTTTCATTAGTGTGTCAAGTCGTGTTTGACTATGAACACCACTACAAGAAGACTGCGTGCCAGTTAATCGATAAAATCCCCCGTAAGCCAAATATCAGGAGGCATTTGATGGCTGTAGTCGAGATGTATTTGTTGGCGAAAGAATACCGAGATCGCGCTAGAGGAATACAAGCGTGCTTACCGGGCGTAACCGAACCCGTGCAAGGTCACAATCGAAGGATAATGGAACAGTAATATGGCTGTCTTTAGCACAGTTAAACAAACGAGCACAGTAAAACAATCACTGGTACAATTGGTCATAATAATGATTGTTTCTGTTAAACCAGTCGCGTTCTCTTGATAAAAGTTGGTCACTACACATGTACCACAGAGTTGATATTCACAGTGAGACTCAATTTTAGTAGATACCACTTCAAGTGTCTCAAATTGATTGAATATATATGAATATCCACCATCAAATTCAGATTCGGTGATATAAATATTAATCTGTTGTTGTGAAACCGATGGCGTCGAGTTTAATCCCATATGGAAATGTGCGACAGCAATACTCATCATGACCAATGTTCAATTTGTTGTTTGATCAACCAACTTTGTTATCTTCAACAAACATCTTTCTTACTACTCAAGACAACATTTTGATTAATAAATCATCAATATCATCTAACATGTTGACATAATGACAGAATAACTCTGTTGTCATTTGTTCAAGATGTTATGATATTACGAATAAATGAATAACTATTTCATAGTTGAAGAAATAAAGATGGGTGTGTTCAATCTCTATGGAACATAATATTTGTTAGTTTAGTCATATTCTTCTACATGATGTGTTTGTGTGTGTGTGTCTGTTGGCGATTTAAATTATGATACTTCATTGAATAATTCATCATTGACATGTCCCAACATGTCTGAAAATAACATCATAATGATGACAAGTAATTTGATTAATCGGCTATTATTTTCAGTCCTCTCAAGTTACAAGATAGACTGTTCTGGTTAGAAGTTGATATCAGTTGATGAGCCATTGAAAATCAAGAAGTCATGTATTCCTGCTCGTTTATTGTTTAACGATTACACACGCGTGTAAATTGATCGAATTATGGAGAATGTCTGCCGATTTCTTGAAAACTACAACAATATTTTCAGTGATTTTCAAGTTTGTCAGAAACAAAGTGAATCAGTCTTTAGAGTTCAGTGTATTCAGCAAGTTTAATGTTATGTGTGTTGGGTAGATTCATTTTGCATTGGTGAAATAACTTTGATGTATATGTTGAACATTCAGGATTACTATCTTGTCTGTTGTGTGTTACGTAACAGAAGCTGAATTTCAGTTTGTGTTACTTTGACCGGACAATTTCTTGTAGGAGGAATTTTACAATTCTTATAAGATACCTATAATGTGTAGATTTAATTCGTTGAAGAAAACGTCGATTTCTCAGTATATGTGGCTTTTCGTTAATATAGGGTTGAATATTTTAACAAAACATTTGAATTTGTTAAATCGTATTGTTTTAGAAACCATTTTCATGGATAGAGTTCGATTTTTACAATGGAGTAGGTTGGAAATAGGTATTCGGTTCAACCATTAATACCTGTCAGCAACGATATAACCTCAGTGTTGTAGGAGGATGTGAGGATACCAATACTTCTGAATATAAATAAGAAGAATTTTAATTGACTTTCTTGAAATCTTCAGATTTCAATGTAACTAATTTTGTTGATAAATTTCAGCACTATCTCATCTTTTTCTTATTCCTTCGATTATTCTTATGGAGTCCGAATGCTTTAAGATTTCTTAAATGTTTGGATGTTAACACGGAATTATCGCAGTCAGATGTCGTATGCACTGAATTTCGGTAAGAAAATTATCAGATCTTTGCTATAAACTACCTAATTTCGATAACTCCTAGTTAGTACAATTATTCGATTACTGCTAATTATCACATTGGCGTCGAGATGGAGCCCGTGATAGGACAGTCGGACATATATTCGAATTCTGAAGCCTCCGAAGCTTACATGGAAATGTTAAAAATCCAGACTATGAACAAAGGAGATATTAGACATGTTAATATTGTGGCTCATTTGATCACATTTATCTGGCTTTACCAGGAAACTGAACTTCAGTCAATACAAGCATACATTTCACGCGGTATTTGTCTAGAAATCTAGAGAGACTAGTGTTCGGGAAATAATTGGATCAATACTATGAGTAAAAGTGCATCAAATGAAAGTCAAAATCAGTGTGCGACAAAATCTTCTAGTCAATCAACTTCTTATCGGATTTCTAATGTTATTTTACCAGATATGGCTTGTCCTAATGATTCACATATCTTTGGTGAAACTTCTCGTAAATCCGAGGAAAATACGTTGAATGAATCAAATCACGATCGGAAATCTGATGCAGTTTTGATCGATGCTGATTTCTTTAATGATCCACTATCCTCCAATGACATTTCTAATAAATTTGAAAAAAATCAAATCCTGATGCCAAGCCAAGGATGGTTGTACTTATGATGCATGTGTTTCTTGTGTGAAACTTGTTCAATGCGAAGCACCTATTCTAAGTGAGCTCGATTTTGATTATGGTCCGGATAACTTCATACCAAACTTTTTATCTTCATCATGAAGTCTCTTCTAATGAAAACTCTAGTCAACATGCAAACTATGTTATAAATCAAGCCACATCATTTATAACTCGAGGATACGAAGATCCAACATTATTTTGTACGGGAGAATAGTGAGACAATCTATGGTTCGTCATTTATATAACTGTGATTTCAGTACATGGTGATCATATAAAACCCCAGGACTTGGATGAGTTCATTCCAACTTTGGTTGTCAATTCTAACAGTAGTGAGCATAGTCTAGATCACATAGAATCTGTATTCAGTACACAGCCTGACAAAAGCAAGCAAGAGGAAGTTTTTATGTATGAATGATTGTTTAACCTTTATTTACGTTGTAAATTTTAATTTTTAGGTTAGTTGATTTCTCGTTTTCAGCGGCGCATTATCATCGGCTAGCATTTGCAAGTTTAGGAGGGTACATATGAAAAATCACTGATGGGTGATTAAATACCGGTAGTCGCATGTTCCATGGTGCGGGGAGGAAATAGCTGATGATTTTTCAACCAAGACTTACAAGCATTTCGAGTCAGGTAGTATCAAGATAATAGGCGAACGTGCGTCACCCAATTTATCCAAGGGTATAGGGTTGCAGAAGCACCCTGGAGTACAAATAAGATAGGGTTTTTGAAATTAAATGCCCTATGGTTCTTTGTTGTGATAGAAAAAATAGTGACTCTGACAGTGGCTTTGATAAATAGATCAATTACGGTAATAAGGTCATTGTAAACGAATTTCTATATCCTACTTGCCATGTTGTGTGAGAAATGATTATGGAATAGTCCTGAGATTTATCGGAAATATGACATCTCAGCTCTATCCTCTGATGTATAGTCTTGAATTATAATTTGAAAATGTTCATGGAATAACCCCTGGCTCAATCCGATCGACTGTGTCAAATGCTGGTTGTTAGAAGCTATGGAAGTATTTGTAAATAAATGCTTGTGCTATGCTTGCATGTTTTGTTTCATCGAGCATAAAGAAGTAGCAAGAAAACATCTTGATCACCCATCAGTCTGAATAGTGTCACAATTGTTGACGACTCAACTACCGATCTGTGTTTGGTCGCATTGATATTACAATGCTTAGTCGACCACATTCATGTGATGGTTAATCGTGACGTTCATAACGTGGAGAGTCGAATAGTACGGCAAGAAGTAATGCACAACATATATTCTATCACAACTAACAGACTTACAGATGATCAAACAACTATTACCTTATATTAAAAGTAGATGAGGTGACAGAATCTACTAGCTGCAGTGGTATGAAAGTTCAGACACATTGGCTGATATATATACATGCAGTATTTCTTTCCTTCAAACGTCATTGGCATATTTGTGTTTACTTTGCTTCCGAGTAATTAACAGACATTTATGTACCCGTACTTTCTGCTTCTCATATATCCTGTGTATATTGAACAACTGGTGTTTTGTCTAAAAGACAAGTTCCTTGTTTGGGTTAGGGTCTTATCACTTCAGCTTGTTCTTGATGTCAGGAAAATTTATTCCAGCATATTTTTTAGTAACCAGCTTATTCAACATGCTACTGTTTGAACATAAGAGCAGATTTTGTGGGGTTAACAAAGCAGCTTCAGTTACCTGACTTACCACCTTCCACTGCGAAACTATTCTAGATATTACACCATAGTCCAAAAAGATTTTGTCGGATGAAGCTGGAGCGTACAACAGGACTAGTTGTACAAAAAAGTACTATGGATGGTAATTAATTGTCACATTTGTTGATGAGTATAGTGTCTTTCAGGTAATTACTCACTCAGTAATAGTCCTGAAACTGACAAGCGCAGTTACCGTGCCCCACATTTCATAACTGTCCACCTGTTTTATCTAAATGACAATGTGTCCAGTTAAAGTTGTAAGCGGCTAGTTGAATGCTGCGTTACTTCGGAATGCCGATAATTTGATTCTGTTTACTATGTTGGGGAAGTATCTACAGTTTATGTACTTTGTCTTCTTGTGTTCCACACACCTTTGCAGTGGTGATAAAAATACATCAGTAGTTTATGCTGTCAAAAACTGTGTCTTGTCAGAAAACGCTTCATTCCTTCATAGAATTGTTGGGCATTTGTAAGATATTTCTTTTGTTTTGAAAATTGCTCCAGATTCTCCGATGAGTCTGACGAAAAAGCGGACTATTATTTTAGCGTTTGTGGTTTCAAAACAGAGGAAAACTCATCAGTGTCATTAAATCAATCGATCATCGCAGTTAGTGAAGCCAGTGTTGTAGAATTAGGATCGTTCACTAATTTTACCATTTCTAACAAAGGTACTGTTAAAACATTGAAACTCATTGACAGGTGATCGGCATCTGGTAAGGTTCAATGATTCAGAGATTATAACAGACTTAATTCTTGGGTGTGGTAGTATGGTAAGTTCAAGCACCAAGAACTCTAACTGTTAGTAGGCGGCCTTTCATCTCATCAGTCATGAAAACGATAAGTCCTACAGTTTTGATTTGTTCCATCCTAGTCTTTGTTCTGCTCAACAACCCACGAAATATACTTTCACTGTCATTCTTGTATGGTACGTTTGTGGCTTTTGTTCGTATAAAAATTCCAAAACTAATTTTTCTCGAACACCCTTAGCGACCTCTCGGTTCCTAGTTTTCAATATCATGAGATTTAACTAAGCATAACTTTGAGAAAATAGACACTTAAGCTCACATTACATATTTTGAATAAAAAATCTGTTGTAAACTCTAAAACATATGTTCTGTTACTATTTGCAATCACCATTAATTATTATGTACTATATTATATTGGAAAAGGCTTGTCGTACAAAATCAGTGTGTCGATCCCTACAATACTATCAAATATGTCCATGTATGTGAACAAATAAACTTGGTCGTACTACTGTAGTAATATTTTTGCCTAGTTGGGAAGTAGGCTGCTATCCTGTTTTTTAATCGCTGAAGTGTTCAGTGAAAATCCTAATATGGATTTCATAATGCCATTATTTTGAATCTTCAAATTCTAATATTCCAGTTTATTTTGCGATGTCTAATAACACTGGTCTGACAGTCAGTCAGTCAGCTACAACTTAGGACCAGGCGCATATATGCATCGGTCCAGGTTGCCACACCTCATTAGCACAGCAAGATGAACACCGGATTCATAGGAGTGGTTAGGTCAAAGGTGGTAATATATAGGAGAAAGATTGCATATAAGGATACAGTACAGGAAGAAAGAATTAGTAGAAAGAAATATATGAAGTGATTTTAATCTCTTGGTTTAAGGGAAGACGGAGTGTATACACCTACGCCATTGTGATCGATTCTGAGCCATGTCACCAAGAGTCTCCAACCATTGGTTACGACAGTCACGCAGACCCCAACCAAGTAGTCTACATCTACCAACATGGCTCAGACTAGAGGTTAGTGTCTTCAAGCACTGATGACACGTTTTGGTTTGGCCGCCCCTAATTCTCTTACAACCATCTCTAGCACCCGTTAGCATTGCTTGACGTGGTAATCGGTGTTCAGGCATACGTAACACATGGCCCAACCATCTCAGTCGATGAAGATTCACAACCTCATCAACTGATTTACCATCATTACCTAATACCCTGCGTCTAACCTCACTATTTCTTACCCGGTGATCCCAACAGACGCCAGCAATATTTCTAAGGCATCTGTGGTCAAATACTAGTAGCTTACGGGTGTCTTCTACTCTTAAAGGCCACGTTTCGCTGCCGTAAAGTAAGACAGAACGGACTGCCGCGCAGTATACTCGTCGTTTTATTGATAGACGGATATCTCGCCTTCGCCAAAGGTGACGTAAGTTGGCAAAAGCCAAGCGAGCTTTTCGAATCCGTGCTGAGATTTCGTCCAATACCAGCCCATTAGGGCTGATCAGACTTCCAAGATAAGTGAAGTTGTCGACGCGTTCAACTACTTCACTCCCTATCCTTAGTTCAGGTGTTGACGCAGGCCAGTCCTGAAGCAAAAACTTGCATTTAGAGAGAAGCGCATTCCAAGCATTCTGGCATTGTTGCTTAGTGCTACCATAAGCTCTGACTCGACTAGTGGTGTTCGAGTAAAGAGCCTTTACAAGGTTTATGTACTTCTGGGGTACGCCTTTCAATGACAGACACTGCCACAGAATCTCGCGGTCTACCGAGTCAAATGCTGCTTTTAAGTCGAGAAAGACCACCATTGTCGGACGCCGATAAGTATGCCTGTGTTCTAGAATCAGACGAATGGTGAATATGTGGTCGATGCAGCCACGACCAGGTCTGAAGCCAGCTTGGTTCTCTCGTGTTTGCAGTTCACGAGTCTTAGTTAGGCGTCTGATAATTATCGAGGCTAGTATTTTAGATATTATATTATTTAAACTAATCCCTCTATGGTTGTCACAGGATGATTTTGATCCTTTCTTATATATTGGAACGATAAGTGATTGCGACCAGTCAGATGGAATAACGTCTAACTCCCAGATCTTAGCTAAAATATTAGTCAACCTAATCGCCAAAATTGGACCACCATCCTTAAAGACTTCTGGAGCCAATCCATCTGGACCAGCTGCCCTTCCTCGTTTCAGGTTAACTATAGCCTTTTGAACTTCTGCTAGAGTTGGGGGGCCTACTTCAATGTTCCATTCACACTGTCTGGGAATGAAGGGTAGTTGTAGAGTCGCTGAAGGCCAGCTGAACTGTTCTCTGGAATGTTCCGCCCATCGTTCTAAACGTCTGGACTGGGAGTAGATGAGAGTATCGGTGTAGAGCCGAGAGTTGAACGCGGATATTTATGACAGTGTACTTTTTATTACCAGTAAGTCTAAAAACGCCAATAATATAATCTAACCAAAACATGTTTCAGACCAAAAACAGACTGTAAATCACCAATCTTGGGGAAATGTACGTAGACTTTTTAGGGATTACGTTAAAAGTTCAGATGTACGTCAAACATGGCTTCTGTATATAGTGATACCAGTAATAATACTAATAGTGATAATAATAGTTATTTTCATTTACTGAGTTTCAACAAGGATTATTTTGCTTGTCGATTACACAAACGTCAGATACCAACATAGCCTGGTCCCCAAAATATTCACGGTACTGTGTGATTACTTGTATATAGGCATAACATTGTTACATTGTATATATTCTCTACGTATCCTAATAAGCAATATTTTTTGGTCGGAATAACTTCAGTATATATTTTGTTTATAAACACTGCACCATTCTTTTTTGTTCATATCATTGTGTACCTTTCTCAATTCAGCTGTTTAGCTTTCATTGTTGGATATTGTGTGTTAAGTTCTTTAATAAAGAGATACTTATATGGACGACCGTGGCATCAATCTGTTCCATTCACCGATACCTTTGAACATTTGAAAAATCGATTCCAGGTAAATTCAAATTGCCTTTTAGATCCCTGATATTAATCCACTCTTCCAATTTTCATTTGAAATTAGTTTCATTTAGTGGCATACTATCTACTTAGTACTTTATGTTTAAAGACATCAACTGGAAATCTTCATTTAACTTGTGCTTACAGTTTTTTGATACCAATTGGGAGCATTGTACCGTTTCAAAGAAAACTATCCTACAAATATTTGAACCTGAGTTACTCAGTGTTGAAACTGGAGACTTTACTATTAATCTTATGTCACATCGCTTAGCGCTGATCATACTGTATTCTTAAATCAATCAAATCCAGTCAATATAGAACTAGTTCATCCTATAGATGGCCATTACATGGTTATAAAATATAATTTATCCATATTTACTAATAGTTTTGAATGGAAATAATTCCTTAGATATTGCACAAAGCAGATAAAATTAAAATCAACAGATACGGTCTTGTGCCTATTTGTTCATTATAACGCTGTTATCAAAGTATGTTTGAACATGATTCAATGGTTCTCACGCCTAAGTCAGTTGCAATCTACTTAATTCGTTCTGTGCCGTTAAGTTACGCAATTTTTCTCAGCATACGCTCATTCTAAATTATAGTTCAGCATACGACCTTGTACCATATGCATTCGAAACCATGATGATCGCCAAGAAAACTCAACTTAATAACTACTTCTAGTCCTATGTGAACAGATTTTACAAACGCTACTTATACTAATCAGTTGGTCTTATCATTATTTCATAACTGACAGATGGTTTTAGGGATAATAATCTAATGATAGTTGCAACAAATGTAGCAAAACATTTATGTCATTAAAAAAAATCGAAAAGTCCCGTTTCTGAAATTGATAAGTATACCATGTATAGATAGTTTATAATAAAACTTAGCAGCTGACTAAAGGTTCTAGTCATCACTTTCAAGGCAAATTTTCGTGAAAAGGCTAATATTACTACCTAGTTATCTAAATCAAAATTGGTCTAGTTAAAAAGAATACTATGTATGGTGCCTGTTTACAGAAAAATTAATTTTCAACAAGTGATTGTATAAATTTTCATGTTCGGCTAAATGCTGCTTCATTAATTGTCTTAGCCTTTAAATATCAACTGCCCATACATAGGTCTATATCTTTCTGCAATGTCACTAGGTAGATGAGTGCTTCGTAATCAAATCAATACCGTTGAAAATTCAATTGTTAATCCACACTGATGTATTTTCAACGGTTACACTGATATAGCCCCCAAATGCCCTGGTACGGCCGGATGTGAGGAGAGTCCGCTCTCCCTCTCGAAATGCTCTCACATGGCCACGCGTATACAGCCTCTGCCAAAGAAGTCCTACTCACTACCTTCTCGTGTGGGAGGGTGTTCGTTACGAAATTGAGAGGACAAAACGCGAATGTCCGGAGCTTTAACCGGGCCGGTGAACACGGTGGGTTCACCTAGGGGAGTTGAAAAACCCTGGTTCCAAACCAATGGTGCACATGGGCTTCAGTGTCCTGAAGGAACAAATGGCGTATGAACCAATCGTTGGTCACCGGCTACCATGGGACTGCATCTCCTTACGATGCTCCACTGCCTTGTGGATCAGACCTTCAGGTCGAAGGCTCCGGATGTGGCCCCCTAAGAAAACCACCTTCTTCAGTTTGGGCAGTATCACAGCCCACACACAAATAGAAAAAATAAAATACTGGTAAAACTAAAGGATTTCAGCTTAAATATAGGTTATAGTACGATCGATACAAACTTTGACAGATTTAGAATAAGCAGTCCAGCATTCTATCAGGTTCATACTTACCTTTACGTATGAGGAATTTTTTACCCAGAAATATCATAGAATATCTAGTTTTTGCAACTGTTATAATCATTATTATGTCTTTCGTATCCAGGACTATATTGTTCTTCATTGTCATCGTCCACAAATTCGCCTTGTTGAACCAGTATATATGCCTCTACCGAATGATTCACCAGAACAATTTAAAACTAAAAATAACGAATCAATATGCGAAAATTCACTAGAACAAAAACAGTTGCTACTGTCGAATTCAGATGAACAACAAGATGATATATTATTGGCTCTTTAACACAGTAAACCAATTATACAAATCGACTTCATATATTAATGGATTTTATGGAATATTTTTAATCATTATATTTTATTTAACACAATCTTCAGATGAACATTATGTCAATTAACTTAAATAACCTACATTTCTTTTATGTTTTGTTCATTTTTATTCCGTTTTCCCGTGATAATATAATACACTTATCATTATGGTATTCCGGTGCCTTGAAGTATCTTAGTAATATCATTGTTAACTGAATATAGATTGTGTATTATTAATATTTAGTAAAATGTTCGAAAGTCAAGTAATATATGTATTAAGACATTCCGTTTGATTTTTCTCTTTTCGAAATGTACCGACAACTGTGCTATATTACCTTTTAGATCTTATTTACTCCATATTTCCCGATTTCCCATTTTATTTCAGCTTCCCTTCCGTTTTTTTCTTGTGAATAAGATGTATAAGATAATTGGATTGCAAAATATACAAAACATTGTTTGTTTTATTGCTTGGAGCTTAGAAAATCTATTAACATAGCTTAGTAATTAAAGCAATTAGCTTTCAGTCAGTAGCTTATGGGTCCGAACCCTGAACTAAACACTTCTGTTTTGGGTAAGCGAGTAGTATCATCATTGAATGTGGCTTAGAGATGAGCTCATGAACTTGTATTTGGTAAATCAGTCACATCAACTTTAGCTCTTGGTTCCGTCAAGGTATTTAATCCCACCAATCTAACCTTCAAACGATCATATACTGGACATCTATATTTAATCCTACTGTTATTCGAAATTATTTTAATGCCAGTTTACTTGAAATTAATTTCATCTGTTCAGTAAGCTGGTGACAGCTCTAATTTATATGACCGAAGCACACCAGAGACAACCTACTCGCTATATTTTGTCTTCTCATCTATATTTCTTTCAGCAATTCATTCCAACTCAGCTTAAATCGAGCCGCATGGATTTTTATACTGACATGTACAGTGCTTTTTAGATAACATTAGTTATAAAGAAACTTATTCATTAGGCAAGTGTCCATATCCTACTCTTGTTTTGATAACGAAAATCTTGTTGAATCAGTTATTGATAAATAGTAATGATAATAATGTAGGTTATAGTTATCTCCTCCAACGTTAGCTTTGTGGCTAAAGAACTTAATTTTTAGCCACTGGATTTCACATTCGAATATTCCCCTCATTCACTACAGTTTGTAGTTGACTGACTGTACACTTAGGTAGCATCCTAGCCTTCAGACACTAAATCATATACCTTTAAAGTTTGGTTGTCACATCAATATTTAGTTATCAAGTAGAATCGAGTCATATGGGTAGGAAGTCAATGAACTGAAAATAAAATCAAATTAACTTTATTGTGTTACACTTGGTTTTTTGAGTGTTAATAACATTAAGCTGCCGTAAACTTTTCAAAGAAAACTTTTAAACTCAATATTAATCCTAGTCGAAGAAGTACACAGTCAAGTGACCAATCCACAAACAGGCTAATTACAAACAAAATGAGTAGGCTGTTGTTTATTTGCCATAGTTTGACCCAGCATTTATCTTATCCCACCTAAACAAATGAGACACTACATAGAAAAGTCCTATTTATTGCTAATGCTATGAGAATGTAATTATTCGTCATATTTGTAAATGATGAGTGCTTCGTAGACACTTTTTCTAGAGTGCTTTCCCATGAACCTCTACAATAAGTGGAATCTCGTACTGCCTGCATAATCGGAAACCTTGGTTACAGTGTTTTAAAAAAAACACTCAAGACTTTGTACTTTTTAACGTAAGTCATCAAATATCTTCATTACACACCATTAATTGATAGGATTTAACTGAGTATCACACAGTGTTAGACATTTCTTTAGGAAGATTCTTTTCCACGAGATGTGGTTGCTAACCTCTATCCTCCACTCTTCCCCTTTATCCGAACTTGGGACAGCTAGTAATCCTAACAGGGCTTCAGGCACAATATAGTTGTAACTTTCATAGACATTTAATATAATGTGAAGTGATCCTTTGTTAATATACTCTTTTCATTGATTAGCATACAATATATAGCATATTACCTGACAATTTACATCTTATTGCTTAAGTAATCAAACCTGTTGATTATTTCCCCTAAACAATTAATTCCATTCTGCTTTAATTAAATCAATTATCTATTATATTTGACATAGCTTTTATCCAACTTAAATACATAAAAATTCATTCTTTTCCATAGTTACTAAAGTGTGAATTCTTCGATTATCGGATGTTATTATAAAAAAAAACTTGATTTGACACTAGAAATCGTTCTAATGGTAGTAATCACTTTCAGATTATTCATTATGAACATTTTAACATAAAACAGAATTTAATATATTCATTGTTTTCGATTGTTTGAGTTTAATTTTATTTATTTTAACACAGATATTGGTACAAGGAGGCACCAAATACATATGCGCCACACAAATCTCATTCGATATGTGTGAGGGCTGTGATACTGCCCAAACCGAAGAAGGTGGTTTTCTTAGGGGGCCACATCCGGAGCCTTCGACCTGAAGGTCTGATCCACAAGGCAGTGGAGCATCGTAAGGAGATGCAGTCCCATGGTAGCCGGTGACCAACGACTGGTTCATACGCCATTTGTTCCTTCAGAACATTGAAGCCCATGTGCACCATTGGTTTGGAACCAGGGTTTGTCAACTTTCCTAGGTGAACTCTCCATGTCCACTAACCCGGTTAACGCGCCGGGCGTTCGCTTTTTGTCCTCTCAATTTCGTAACGAACACCCCCACCACGAGAAGGGAGTGAGTAGGACTTCTTTGGCAGAGGCTGTATACACGTGGCCATGTGAGAGCATTTCGAGAGGGAGAGCGGACTCTCCTCACATACGGCCGTACCAGGACATATGGTGGTCAAATGAAAGATTAAAACTATAAGGATATCAGAATACAATAATCTGAGTATTTAATAATTATACAATGAGTAAAATATCTATACTTAATGATTCTCAATAAGGATACTGGAAATGAACATTTGTCAAAACTCGGGCGAATAATTTGGCAGAAATTGGTTATCGAGTATATAGAAGACAATTAATGTAATAAATTGTACCTGGATAATCTCAGCAATTAAAACTTAACTAATTTCAACGTTTCACCCACAAATCTCATCCGGACTCCAAGGGGGGACAATCGAAATCAACATTATCAAAGAAGATATCAAGCATAAATAATAAAATTACACTAAAATCTTGTTCAACCGTGCTTATTTTGTTTACAATAAGATCGCAAGATAATACAATACTTTTATATCCGGGTCACTTATCACTTATACCTGAAACGAGGGACCACTACAACTCCCACGACGCGAAGTAAGAACACAAAAGACTGGCACAAGCGAAGGATCATTCCCTCTAAAACAACGCGACGATGAACGTGGTTGAAGATACGACTAGAAATAAACTCAACTGCGGTTCACACTTTCGGCAGTCTATTTAGAGACCAGTCATTTTCGGCTTGCCTCATTCTTTGTTTTTCCTTTGGCCCTTTCGTGTCTCTGCAAAATTTAATCCTTTAGTATGCTGAAATCCCGCAACTTATGTGACACTAAGTGTTGGCGCCAATTTTCTTTTTGATCAACAACAACAACCAAACTTGACCTCAAACGTATCCTCACTAACATGATTCACTGACGATCTATTTCAAAACAACCACAACATTTATTAAGCTTTCTAAGACTGGGGTTATCAGTCCAGTATATAATGTGTGTCCGACATTACACAGTCTGACATAATGAATAAAAATGTACAGCCACAGCGAGATTAATGGCATAATCTAGTTTTTTTAATAAAAATTACATCAATCTGACAATTTCATTGACTACATGAAGGTAAACATGACCATTATTTCAGCCTAAGATACACTCATTTGTCGTGACAACGTTGAGTATATTCCCACTCAAAAATACACCCATGTATAAATTGATCTGTACGTCCATTTATTAGAAAAGAGTTACATATGTAAAAATAAAGTGCTCAGAATTATAACAAATCACATGCCGTATGTCATGCTAAACACAGTTCATATTATTTAGATGGTAGTTGGAGGTAGTCAACAGGAAACCCTAGACCCGGGTTTCGTGCTACATGGCACTCGTCAGCAACGCGTACCTGTAATCTTGAGGAAACTGGTGCTCCCTGGCGGATTCGATCTCGTGTCACCCAGCTTCACAGTCAGAGACAATACCACTGAGCTATCCGAGCCGTGACTAACCTCCTGTAGGACTGAGATGCAATCACAATTGATTGATCACTGGTGGTGATCAATGTCATGCTTGTCTAGTCCTTATTAGTGCAGATCGAATGCTATCGATCATGTTGCAATGAGGCCACCAGTCTAGGTGACTCGACACTGCGGGCACTATGTATTGAGATTTAGATGGTAGTTGGAGGTAGTCAACAGGAAACCCTGGACCCGGGTACAGGTACACCTTGCTGACGAGTGCCAAGTAGCACGAAACCCGGCATCGCAACATGATCGATAGCATTCGATCTACACTAATAAGGACTAGACAAGCATGACATTGATCACCACCAGTGATCAATCAATTGTGAATAGTTCATGTTAATTTGATACAAGAAAAATTGTATCTTGAATGAACATCATACTGAAATAAATCAATGTTACTTCATTTTTATATTGATTGTTTGAATCTTCTCATTGATGTTTAGGACTATAATTTATCAGTCCTCTTACTGACATATGTGCTTCCTGTGAGAATTACCTCTATATCGCCTTAAGTCACAAATATTATAAGCAGAGATAGATGGTGGCTAGCAGTGAAATCCAGGTCATGTGTTTCGTTCTATTTTGAAGTAAATGGTACTGGGTTTAAGTCTCGGAGTGGATATCAACTCTGGGATGCAGGCATATCCAGCTGACGAGTACCATGATGGGACGAAACGCACGTCCTAGATTTCACTGCTAGTCCTCATCCATTCCTACTTATAAACCAATGTTATTCTCAA